AGGGGAGCAACCGGCAGGAGTCTCAGGGAGGGGCAGCACCAAGAGGATCTCATCTGGCTTTGAAAGCCAAGGTGCTAGTGGCAGTCGCGCTACCGTGACCATCCTGCTCCTGCACAGGGGGGACAGACGAGAGTTATTTCCACTTACTTTGAATCCCCTTTGCCACAAGCCGCAGGCGAATGAATTCCGTGATCACAGCACACCTGGGGCGGAAGGGCAGACACACACACAGGCCTCAGCACATGTTAAGTCAGATCCAGGCCACGTCCCCAGGCAGACTCTCACGCTCTTACCCACGTTTTCCAAGCAATTCTCTCGTGAGCCACAGTGGCAAAAGGGACTGGATTCTGGGGTCCTGGCTACAGGCTTATTAAGTGGGGGCACCCCCCACAGCAGGTGCTCGGCACTAGAGAAGAGTGGTCTAGTGGGAGAGGAACAACAGTTTAGGAAGACCTGGGTTCATCTCCTTGCTCTGCCACAGATGCCTGCATGAGCTTGGCCAAGTCACTTAGCTGCTGTGCCCCTCCCCCACCCCATCTGTACAATGGGATAGTAACTTTGCCGTGCCTCGCAGGAGGGTTGGGAGGTGCTCAGATACTATTGTGATGGGGCAGATAAGTACCTTAGATAGACAGTTCCAGCCCCCTCAGTTGTACTTACGTCAGGTCTCGGTTAAACTCCTGCACGGGGTTGTAGAACACTTCGTTGGCACTGGGGAAGATGATCTTCGCTTTTCCCTCGGTAATCACAGTCTCCCCCGTTTTCATGGGGCCGGCACAGCTCCCAGCATCCACCACTGGATCAGAGGCAGGCGGCTGCCCCTCCCTCTGTTCTGGACAGGAGCCATTGGCTTCCTGTGAGTGTTCTTCCTCCATGTCCTTGGCAGTCCAGAGCTCTCTGGCTAGCAGATCTTTGGCGGGTAGGAATCTCCGGCCCCTTCCAGTCACCCAATTTGCTACAGTTCTGCCTGACTGCAGGACACAGCGTCTCATAAGCTAAACCAGAGCGACATTAGCCTTCCTCAGAACACCCTGTGTCACAGCCGTCTCCAGAGTACAAGAAAGATACCACAAACACTTCCACAGCCTCGCTGTGCCAGGCACGGTTCAGCCCCAAAACAAAGACCAGCCTTGCCCCAAAGCACCTGCAATCTAAATACAAGTTGAGAGGTGACAATTGCTTATAGACAAGAGCAAAAGGAAACCACATCAGTGAGCATAAGGGGCAGCAGTCTCCACACATCAGCCATTTCCAAGTTTCTTGTCGCCATCGCGATGAGGGAGAGTTATGGGGGGGAGAGGGGGATCGGAATTCAGCGTTCCAGATGAGCACGGAAACACTACTTCCCTAGCCCTCATTCCTGTCCCTGCCCATCTTTCTACTCACAGCGATTGTGAAGGAAATACTGTTACCTACATTTTGTGGGAAAAAGCATTTTGTTGCATCAACGTAACTATCTGATGTGGATGCATCCTTACCCCACAAGGGCTGAAATCAGCAGCACTTGTTTTGCAATGTAACTATCTGATGTGGATGCAGCCCTACCCCACAAGGGCTGAAATCAGCAGCACTTGTTTTGGTAAATTTACCAGCACATCTTTAAGCTACTACACCCACATCCACATTCAGACATGGCAACAAATGTATAAGTCAGTGCAGGACCTGCGTATAGACAAACCTCAGCTCATGAGCTCATTAGAGCAGGACATCTGTTTGTTTTGTGTCCCTACAGTGCTTTTCACACAACAGCCTCTACTCCATGGCACGGACTCCTAGGTCTCTCTGCACTACAACAGCATCATCAGCCTCAAGCATCCAAAAATTAGCCATCATGATGGGGGGGGAGACTCCACACACGAGTTATCAGATTTTTCAAAACAGCACATGGGGTTCTGTGGATGTGATTTCAGGCATCGGGGCCACACCATTAGGATCCATATTTTAAAGTGTTTCATCGCAAGTTGAAGGACTAGTCCAGCCACCAGCCTAGGTTTTCCCCAGGATCACCCCTTTTTTGCAGTAGCTTTCCCAGTTGAAATGGTTCAGATGGCCCAGAGGGTTTCTGTGCCTCACAGAGGCAGCAACCCTATTAGAGACAGGGCCAGTGCTGCTGTTTTTTCTTAAACAAAAGCTTGAGAGTCTCATGCAGTCCCAGGAGCCAAGATTTTCAGAGGGAAACGGGGGAAGGGGCACGCCAAGTATCCTGAAACTCACAATGAAACTGCAAGAGCCAGCGACCTGGGAGAGCGATCCCCGCAGCCTATGCTTTCTGGAGGCCTCAATCCCTCACAAGGGCAGCAGGCGAGAGTGACTCAGCGTGAGGGGCTGGTGCCAGGAGAAATAACCCCCCCCCCCGCCAGGCGGGGGAGGGAAGCTACAATTGTAGGTCTCTGTCCCCCCCGAGAAAAGCGAAACGAAACCCAAGCCCCGGGAAGAGGGACAGATCAGCCCCCTCCCCCGCAGCTCCCCATAGCCAGCGAACTCCACTTTACCTCCACGCCTTCCAGCAGCAGCTAGATGGACAGCGCCATATTGTATCCTGCGGGGAGCGATCAGGTGACCTGCATCCGGCCAATGGGAGGTGCCAGGTACAGGGCGGCTAGAGGGACAGAAAGCTTGGAACCTGCGACCAGAAACTCAATGCCATTGAGAATGGGTGGTGGGGGAGAGTGAGGGACTAGAGACTTGTCTTGCCAAGTGGGGGCATTTCCCTCCCTTGGGGATCACTGTCAGGCAGCCCCCCCCATTAATGCGGCAGCCTCATGACTGCAACAGAGGTGGTCCGGTGGTAAAAATCACTGTCACGCAACACGGACATCCCCCCCAAACACCCAGAAACAAAACATCCCCCCAAACACCCAGAAATGCAGCTCTGTCTACAAAACCACATGGCAGCAGGCCCACAAAACGTCCCCATAGCCTCCAGCAGGCTCCCTGAGGTCTGTAGCTGTCAGGGCAGCAAATCCAAAGTGAGCCCTTCCTCCCTCCCACCTCTGCACCGGGCCTGTGAAACTTCTTCAAGAAAGCCCCCTAGAAGCGGAGGGGCTCAATGGAGCTAGATCTGTATTCCCATTCCCTACGCCCTGCACAGGTTTGGGGGGTGATCATTGAGTGTAACCCCTGCCAGCTCATCTACCCCCTTAGCCCCTGAGGCTCATGAACCCCTCTAAACAGCATCTTAGGAAAGGTTCGGAGCCTCCACCAGCACTTCCACAGTTCCCAGCTGCAGACTAGGTCTGCAAACTCCACTACCAGACAAGGCCCAATGGGCCGTGCTTGTGCTTTTCCACATATCTGCCTAGTCTCTGCCTCTTCCTCCGGGCAGGGCTTGACTCACAGATTGGGGGGCGTGGGCAGAACCCCCGATATTAACATATTCCTCAAAATACAGAGGGAAATCCAAATGTCACCATGGCAACACAGGTCTGAACACCCTGAAAATGTGGAGTGCCCCTAGGAGAACTAGGGCCCTAAAAAGGGGCAGGGGTCCAGACCTGAGCCGGAAAAAAACACACACGCACGCACACACGCATGGAACGGATCAGGGCCATAAAAATGGAGTTTAAGGGAGTGGGGTTGAGGAATAATTCAGAACCCAGCTAGAAAATCCAGAAACACCCATCCCCTGCAATTTGGAGGGAACATTCTCCTTTACTACATCCCTCTCCTTAAGATTTTAAAGGTGTCATTTCTGGAATAAAAAAATTGGGGAAAATTGCCCCCAATTCAACCACTTCTTTTTTTCTTTCTAAGGGGGGCAGTTCTCGGTTTGGGGGAACTCTCCTTTTAATCTGCCTCCAAACATATTGTTTCAGAGATTAATTCTCCCCCTCCTCCTCGCCCCCCTCCCAACACACACATATTTGTGTTTTGGGGGTCAGTTCTGGGGGAACTCAAAATTAGGAAAAACTTCCTCAAATTCAAACCCCAGAATTCAGCTTTTGCTGTGTTAATTCTAGATCCAAACCTGAGTATGACCTTCCCTTACTCCAAATCCCCAAACTTGTTTTGTTTGTGTGTGAACTTTGGGCCTAATCACAGGGGAAATCTTCCAGCCATATTTTTCCTCCAGATTCCAATTTAAAGGTGGGAGAATCCCTTCTAATCCATCTCTCCCATAACAGCCCCTAGCTTCTTTTTGGCAGGAAAGTGGGTGGATTTTGCTCCTAGATCCAAACTTCCTAAGAATAGAACCTAACTCTCCCCTTTTCTTTGAACCTGACCTTCCCATTTCATGATTTATTTGCACCAAACTTTATATATTTCTCTGTACTAAAAATTGTATATATGACATTTACTTCATACATATAAAAGTTTATATCCGTACTTTACATATATTAGTTTATAAAAGTTATATAAGTTCAGTGCTCGGATATATAAGTTAGTTTACACAGATACATGTATAAAGGAAATGAACAAGCTTAATAGTACATATAAAAATGTAAGACAAAGAAATTATACATAATTTTATTACTTTGATATATAGTAATATATTTAGGTGTACTAAACTTTATATATGTGCTAAAACATGTATATAAGTATATATAAATCATATTATAACTTTATATACGTTTGATATAAATCATATCTATATATAAACGTAATAATAGGATATTAAATTTAGCATGATCATGGAAGCAGTAAGTTTAGTGCAGAGAAATTATGTATAATATAATCATCACTCTATTCTTCTTCTCTATATATACAATTTCCTGCATTACGCTCTGTATATTTGTACTGTATTAAAATGGTATAATCATAGTATGACGTTATGTGGATGTCTAGTGCTCGATTAGGAACTGTGTGTTTATATGAGAGTTTTAGACTCTGCAGAGGATGATCTGCAGAAAAGCGGATGGAATGACCCAGCTGGGTAGTTCTGCTTTCCTGGGTGTAGCAGGGGAGCATCATATGATGCTGCTGTTCTTGTCTCTCTAATCCCAGGCCACCCATCTCGCTAAGCTCCCTCCCTACACCCCCCTCTCCGTCCACATGCACATCTAGCTGCAACCCGGCCAGCTGCTCCCTGCAGACCGCCCCTCCCCTGCGCTCAGAGCCCAGAGGCTGCCTGGCCGGGCGGGGGGAGGGGCCAGGCGCCCCGGGCCCAGCAGGGAGCAGCAGC